AGGGAAGGGAATACACATTTTCTGTGTTATTATCTGTGACAATAGGAAAATGGATCAAGCAGTACAGAAATGGGGGCAGAAGCTGAGGAAGCAAGAGGCGGAGGCTTTCTTTCATGTTCACATCAATGTATCAGTCTGGTTACTTGACCAGTTTCAAGTGCATTTCACCAGGAGGCATTTCTCCATTTTGTCCCAACACAGGGTGAGATTTTGTCAAATGTCCTGTAAAATTGTGATAAGCTCTGTTTATGGTAGTAAGTCATAGCCAATGGAAACTCCTAGGACATTTTCCAAGGGTACTTAGCACCCCCGAGATTCGGATCCACTTCCCTGTGGGGACACATGGGGGTGGGATCTAATGGAGAATCGCTGTACAAGGACGATGCTGACCGAGAGGTGCTGCCCTCGTGAATGACGGGGAGGCACGCCCGTCTGAGCTGCTGTCCACAGTGTCTCCTGAACACAGATCAGCAATTGGGCAGGATTTTCTCCTCGTGAACCCACGTTGGGGCCTGGCAATCAGCATTCTTTTCTGAGGGCTTACTGCCATCTGTTGCAAAATCCTTTCTAGAATCTGGCAGGGACTCCATGCCCAGCCTTGCATCCTATGCTTTACGCGGTCTATTCTTGGAAAAACAGAATATCCGCCCTTTTCCCATCTGAGGCACTTGTCTTTCTGTCCGTGCTGCCTCAGGACCACGCCCACAGCTTGGGAACCTCATCTATGGTTCCTTTAGCCTTGGATGTGACCCTGGGGACCTGTGGACAGGACCCACATTCTTCCATTCCTTCTCCGCAGTATAGGGCTTGCCCTTCCTGGATTGCTAAGATCCTAATTCTGTCTCTGCTTCTTACCCCTGTATCATACACACTCTGGACAAGTTTCTTATACGGAAAGTGGAATAATCATAGTTCTCACCTCCTGGGGATAGTAAACACTAAATGAGTTGGTCCGCATAAAGCCCTAGTCAGCTCTCAGCTCAGATTTGTGCCCTCCCTTCTGCCGCTGTGCTCCTTGCCGGGAGGGTGGGTGCCAGTCAGAAATGGCCAGGCTGGCTTGCTGGCTCCTGTCCAGTCTCATTGCAACCTCCTTCTCAACCAGCAGGCTGTTGTCATTTTTCCTTTTTGCTACGAACACGGATTAAAAAGCCCCGTTGGGCTGTGTTTTGCTCTCTCTGCACAGCGCATGCTCCTCCTCATCTTCCCATACGGGCCTTTCTTCCCCTCTTTTGTACACTTTCCTGCTAAAGTCTGTGCATGTCAGAAGCCACTGTGCAGCCACTGGTGTTTTTTCTTTCTTTCTTTTTTTTTAAAGATTTTTTATTTATTTATTTGAGAGAGAGAGAATGAGAGACAGAGAGCATGAGAGGGAGGAGGGTCAGAGGGAGAAGCAGACTCCCTGCCGAGCAGGGAGCCCGATGCGGGACTCGATCCTGGGACTCCAGGATCATGACCTGAGCCGAAGGCAGTCGCTTAACCAACTGAGCCACCCAGGCGCCCTGTTTTTTCTTTCTTATGGGGACAATTCATTTTCTAAAAATTCAGTTTCCTTCCTGGAGTGCCCTATTTCTCCCGAGCCAGAGTCGCTGTTGGGGCGCCGGGAGGCATGGCCACAGGGCCGAGGCTAGGCGCGGACTCCAGAAGGGCCTGGATTCAAATCACTCCTGCTTCTTTCTAGCTGCCTGAGCCAGGGAGAGCTTTCTAATTCTCTCGGCCCTTTCTACTTCGGACACTGCCCGTAGAGCTACGGGTCCGACACAGAGTAAGCAGGCAACCATGGTGACCCACGATGGCTGTTCCTATCATCTGGATACAGTCTCACTCTGACATTGTTCTCTAAGATTTCGGAACCCTGTCTTGTTACAGACCGAATTGTGTATTCAGCCCTCCTCTTCCGTTTCCTCCCCCAAGCTTGGCAGACAAGATAATGGTCTTCGGTCACCATTACTATTACTTTTACTAACAATAATGATAATGATGCGCGTACCTTGAACACGAGCTGTGTGCTCACGCTATTTGGAGAGGCTTCTGAGCTCTGTCTCCTCCGGTCCCCACGACCACCCTCAGAGGAAGTCAGCGGGGGTTTTTTTATTTATTATTTTTTTAATTCCAAGGTTTCTGATGCTTTCATTTCAATTATTTTTATGAACTTAGTGTCTCCAGGTTCTGAGCCACCGAATGCAAGCCGTTTGAATCCCCATCTTGAGTGACGTCAGGAGCCCAGCCCCAACCCCTTCTGTGCCCCTGCCTGTGCTTCTGGGGTCCCCAAGGAGGGGCGCCCTATGGGCGTGCTGCCACCTGGACACCAACAGCCCCCCCCATCACCCACTGCACTGCCTTCCCTCTGCCCTGTGCCTGTGCGAGCCTCAGAGCAGGTAGCATTCACCTTTACACTTTTTATCAAAGTCAGGACCATATAATAAATTCACAAGTGAAGAAATAAACTTATTTTCCAAAGGCCAACCTCACAAGTTATCAAAGAAATGCAAATTAAAACAAGTTCCATTTCTCACCTGTAAAATTTGCAAAGATGAAAATAATTATATATTCTGTCATTGGTGAAGGTGGTGGAAATGGGCACTGTCGCCTTCCACTGTTGAGGGGTCAATAAATATTTACATGCAATATATAAAGATTATAATTTACGCATTAAACCAGTAATTCAGCCCCTAGAAAAATAAGCTAAGGAAATCACTGAACTAGCACAGATATATTTAAGTACAACAATCCATCGAGGCGCTACTTTCAATGTTGAAAATGAGAAACAATCTAAATGTTCAACAATAGAAGACTGGTTACAGAAATTGTGGTACAGAGAAGTGAAAAATATTTTACTACCATGGGAACTAAGCAAGCTGTAATGTGGAGTGCAAAGAATACAAACTAGATTGACCATAAATATTGTTTTGAATTGAAATAAAACTGAGAGGCCAAAAAAAAAAAAAAAAACTGAGAGGCCAAATGCCTCTGGTTAACTTTGGTGGGATTACAGGTAATTCTTATTTCTCTCTTTGTCATTTTCTTTTCTTTCTTTTTTTTTTTTAATTTACTTATTTATTGGGGAGGGGGGCAGAGGGAGAAGGAGAGAGAGTCCCAAGCAGACTCCGCCCCGAGCACAGAGCCGGACACACAGCTCGATCTTATGACCCTGAGATCATGACCTGAGCCGATACCAAGAGTGGGACACTTAACAAACTGAGCCACCGAGGCGCCCCTCTCTTTGTCATTTTCTTTAGTTTCCAAATTTTCTACAAAGACTATTACTTTTATAATTAGAAAAATACATACATGTATATTTAGGCTTAATGATATATCTATAGATCTCTTTATATTTGTATATATGCATACATTTAAGTTAGGTTCTAATGCTGCTTTCTGCACATCTTGAGACGCGAAGCTGCTCTCCAGACAAACCAAGCACATGCCCGGCCAGGGAAATACCCTGGTTTCTGCTGGTTTCCATGATGCACCCCTTCAGTCTCAGGGACTCCATTTGGTGAATGAATACCTTCCTTACGAGCTCTTCTCCCTCACACATTCCCATACAGAGACTCATCAGCTGAGATCGGAGCCGGAAGAACTCTCAATACTCCTGACCACTCCTGCACCATGGACCCTTTGGGTGTCTATGAAGCATATGGGATTGCTTCTCAGAATAACCATTTTAAATGCATAAAAGAGAGGCACCTGGGTGCTCAGTTGGTTAAGCGTCTGACTGGATTTCAGCTCAGGTCATGATCTCAGGATCATGAGATCGAGCCCTGCATTGGGCCCGGCGTGGAACCTGCCTAAGATTCTGTCTTTCCCTCTCCCTCCGCCACCACCCAACTTAGTCTCCAGTACTCACTTTCTCTCTGAAAAAATAAAATAAGATAAATGCATAAAAGAAAACATAGAGGATTTCCGGAAGAAACCAGGCATTCCTTGAGCAGTGAGATTCTAGGCCATGTGCTTCACGTTTACTGCAAACCGAGGCTGGCTGAGACAGGAACTCATCTGCCGTCAGAGCCTGGACCCTGAGGCCTGGATCTATCACTCTGTGAGCTCTTCCCTCTGAATGATGGAGGCGATTCTAGCGCAGCTTTTTAGTCTTAACCTCCCTCTCTACCAGGCCCAGGAAATGATCCCTTGACCCTCACATAAATTTACAATGTCAACATCATTGTCTGTTTCCAGATAAAGGAGACTGGTGTCCAGAGATGTCAGCACGGGGGGGGGGGGGGGGGGAGGGATGACCCCACCTCTAATATCCGGGTTCCCGTAACCTGCTCTTGCCAATCGGAGCTCATCCAGGGCTCCTGTGGGACCAGCTGGGAATGGGTCCTCTAGGGCTGTTCGGAGAGAAGAGACTGCATGGGGGTGTGCCCAACCAGAAGAAAGTGGAACTTAGTGAAGGTAAGAAACTCTGAGAACACAGGATGTCGGTGGGGGGACCTTTGATCTCGTTGAACCTGAAGCAGCTTCCTGACTTCTATATTACATGAGCTGACACCCTACCTCTCCTTTTTCCTTTTTTCTTTCTTCAGCCAGTTTGAATTGGGTTCCATTACTTGCAATCAAGTGTCTCGCCTAAGTCAGGTATGGATTCTCCCCATTTTACAGATCGGGACAAGCAGGCAGGCCGGGAGAATTAAATCACTAGCAAGTGGCGGGGGCCGTGATCCGAATTCTACTCTTCCTGACCTTAAAGCCTTAAGCATGATTGAATGTGCGTTCAGGTGAAGGCCAGATTGACTCCTCAGAGGCTCACAGCCATGCGCCCACCTGCCAGAGCTGCACCCTGGGAGGCCTGATCCTCTTACACACACGTCTCTTGGGCTGCCCACAGGGTTCCTTTCTTCCTACACTTTAGTCGATGTGATTTCTATGGCCTCTTACCTGCACAGAGGGCACAGTTCGCCCCACGACTCCCCCAGGCACCTCTGGGGTGGGAACGGTTCACAACCCTCCCAGCCCCTCCTCCTTCCCCAGCCAGACACCTCGCGGCAGCCCCGGCTCACCTGTAGATCAGCACCTCATCGTCGGAGCAGTTGTACTGCAGCTGGTACATCTTCACGCGGGGCGCTGACTTGCTGACCGACCACTTGACCAGGGCCGAGGTGGTCGTCACATCGGACACAAGCACAGCGCGTTCCGGGGGGCCTTTGGGCGGCTCCCCGCCCCCACTGCCTCCACCTCCCCGGCCGGTCTTGCTGGAGCCCGTGATGTCCGAGAGGCGGGACTTGGGGGGAGCAGTGCGGCTGGTGCTGTTGCTGAGGTGTGGCAGCTGGACGATGGAGACCTCCACCATGGCCGTGGCCTCCCCGGCGGCGTTGGCCGCGATGCAGGTGAAGGCGCCGCTGTCCTGAGACGTGGTGATGAGGATGTCCAGGGTGCCGTTGTCGTACACGGCGGTCCTTGAGGAGTTGCCCACCAGGCGGTCATCGGGGGCCACCCAGTGGATGAGGGGGCTGGGGTCCCCAATGGCCTTGCACTTGAGCGTGGCTGCCTGGCCCTCCAGAACCAGCAGCTTGTGTGTGTGCTGGGTGATGAGAGGCGGCTCGCACACAAACTCCTCCTCGCGCACGTGCCAGAAGTAGTGGCCCTTGAGGCCCCCCGGGGAGCCGCAGGTCTCCAGGTCATCGTCCCGCTCCAGCCGCCGCAGCCAGAGCAGCTCGCAGTTGCAGTGCAGCGGGTTCCCCCCAAAACTAAAGGACAAAGGTGGAGCAAAGGGCGTGGCCGTCAGGGCCGAGGCCTGGGAGCGGGCGAAGATGGGGTCGGGGGGCAGCTTCCGCAGCCGGTTGGACGTGAGGTCGAGGCGAGCCAGTTTCTGCAGGTCGGCAAAGGTGCCCTCGGCGATGTGGTCCAGCAGGTTGTGGTCCAGGCTCAGCTGGTGGAGGTTGACCATGCGCCGCACGGAGCCCCAGGGCAGGCTGTGGAGGTTGTTGTAGGAGAGGTCCAGGTCCTCCAGCGTGAGCAGGAAGTCCTCGAAGGCCTCATCAGCAATGCCGCCCAGCTGGTTGTTGTTCACGATGAGGTGCTGCAGGTTGACCAGGCCCCGCAGGGTGTCCTCCCCAAGGCTGGGCAGCCGGTTGCTGTCGAGGTGCAGGGAACGGAGGCTCTCGAGGTCCAGGAAGGAGAAGGGCTGGATGTGGCTGATGGTGTTCCTCGACAGGGTCAGGTCCACCAGCCCCGTCATGTTGGCGAAGTCCTGGCGGCCAATGTGGATGATGAAGTTGCCCCCCAGACGTAGCTCCACCGTCCGCCGGTCGATGTCAGGGGGCACGAAGAGCAGCCCCTTGGAAGGGCAGAGGGTCCCCAGTGACTCAGACAGGTTCTGGCAGACGCAGTACTTGGGGCAGGCGTCGACCACGGCAAACGCCATGCCAAATGCCAGCAGGCCACCAAGCAGGGTCTCCATGGTCTGGTCACTCAGGCCGCGGTGCCTGGAAGGGAGGGACACAAGGTCAGGGTCAAGAGACAACTTCCTAATGCCCCACCAGGGCTTCATCTGTCGCCCTAACCCCTGCCTTATGGAGCAGCAGAGAATGGCTTGTGCTCTTGTGAAGTCTAACCTCTTCCCCCAATCGATCCCTCTAATATATATATATATTTTTTGCCTTAGCTCTTATCATTTTCTAACAGACTATTTAATTTGCTTATTAACTATGTTTATGTAATATTTCCTATCTCCCCCACTAGAATGCCAGCTCCACAACAGAAGGCTCTTTTGTCTGTTTTGTTAATTGCTATATACCACACATCTAGCATGGTGCTCGGAACACGGTAGGTGCTCCATCAATGTGTTGAACGAATGGAAGGATGATTCTATACCAGTGGTTCATCTAATAATCATATTTGAAAAGTGCGTTCTGGATGTACGTTAAAGTACTTTTATCTCCTTAATTGGTTTGGACTTGGCATGAAATCAAATTGGACCAGCATTCCTTAGGAACAAGGACATGGACAAGGAGAGAACTGGCCCCCGGAGATGCCAAGGTTATTGGGGAACTGGTTGTAGATAAGTTTCCCCATGGAGAATCTACATAGTGGGTGAACCTTTGGGAGCTCAGGGAAGTGAAGAAGGGGGTGAGGCTGGAAGCAAAGGCATTAACTTCTTCTGAGCACCCTATATGTGCTGTGTCCTCTGCCCAGACCTTCATGTACCTCATCTCATTTGGGCTTTGGGAACACCCTTCACAAGGCTGGGCTTATTTTTGTATTTAGATGAGGACTTGTCCACCTCTGAATCACCTCCTTCAGGTGTTCACTCAAAAGTCACCCTCTCCCCGAGGCCCCACCCCAGCTGTGCATAACCCTCCTTCCTGCCTTGTGTTTTCTCCTTGGGAATTCGTCATGATCTGCCTTACTGTGTATTTATTTCACCTGCTTGTCTTGTTTTTTTTTTTTTTTTTAAGATTTTATTTATTTATTCATGAGAGACAGAGAGAGAGAGAGAGAAGCAGAGGGAGAAGCAGGCTCCCAAAGAGCAGGGAGCTCGATGCGGGACTCGATCCCAGGACCTTGGGATCGTGACCTGAGCCGAAGGTAGACGCTTAACCATCTGAGCCACCCAGGCGCCCCCTGCTTGTCTTGTTTATTGCTTGTCTTCTGTACTGGCAACAAAGCCCCAAGATGTAGGGACTTGTTTTTATTCACCACTGTATACTCAGGGCACTGCCTGGTACACAGTCGGTGCTTTTGCATGAATGAATATCTAGGGAAGGAAGGAATGGACTCTGGATCAGGTCTCTGTGCCTCCAAATCTCACAGTTTCCTCACTATTCCATGTTACACTAACCGCAGTTCTATTTATGTGGTGCTAAAAACATCAGTGGAGCTGGACTTTTGAAAACCCTGCACACCGGTTGTGTAGCGTCACCCAGAGCAGCGTGCTGCAAGGGGGCCTCCTAAGGCCACTGAGTTGGGGACGCACTGACTGGTCTTTCTTGCTCTTGCAAAAGCTCCGTATGCATTAGCAAGTGCAGAAGGGTTGAGGAATTCTGCTGCAGTAAAGAAAATGGATTAGTGTTTAATTCTGCATTGCTTCCCCCATTTTGAGCTAAAGATATTCCTTTTTTTTTTAAGATTTTATTTATTTATCTGACACACAGAGAGAGCGCGCACAAACAGGCAGAGCAGGCAGAGGGAGAAGCAGGCTTTCCGCGGAGCAGGGAGCCCGATGCGGGACTCGATCCCAGGACCCTGGGATCACGACCCGAGCCGAAGGCAGACGCTTAACCATCTGAGCCACTCAGGTGCCCCCAAGATATTCCTTTTTGGAAGCAACAACCATTAATATCTGGAGGAAGTAGGGCTCCAGAGCTCCCAGTTTGAGAAGCACAGGTGCAGAAAAAAACAACTGGCTGATTTAAAAGGATACAACATAAATTTAAAAACCTATTCCAATCAGATATTACTTTATTGTGAAGATATGAATTTCATTATTGCATCTCTTTCAGGGTAAATCTCCCACCTAAGACCCTTCAGGGTCAGAGACTTAATCTGTATTTCATCTGGAGAGAGTGCTGTTTCTCATCAGCCCTGTTCAATAGAAAGATGATTACTAGCTATTCATGTAATTTAAAATTTTCTCATGGCCATTATAAAAAGGGAAAGAAGTGAAATAAATTTTGATAATATATTTTACTTAAACCACTATATCCAAAATATTACTTCACATGTACTCACTACATACAACTATCAATGAGATATTTAACATTCTCTTATTCGTAGTAAGTCTTCAAAATCGGGTGTGTATTTAATACTGAGAGCACATTTCAAGGGCTCATTGGTCATATGTGGCTGTTGGCTACCATATTGGACAATGTTGTTGGAGCAGGTGTTGGCTAACTATAGCTGAGGGCCAAATCTAGCCTGCCACCTGTTTTTGGAAATAAAGTTTTATTAGAACATGGCCATGCTCATTCATTTGCATACTGTCTATGGATATGTCGTGTGTGCGTGTGTGTGTGTGCGTGAGCGTGCGTGCACACGCACACGCCACAAGGACGAAAGTGAGTAGTTGCAGCAAATATAACGTGGCCAGCAAAGCCAAAAATATTTACTGTCTTGCCCTTTACAGAAAAAGTTTGCCAACCTCTGTTGCGGAGGATTTTTTTCCCTCTTCATCTTCATCACGGTCACCCTCATTGAAAGCCCTTGCCAATGTGCCTAATTCCACACAGTTCTGCTCTGGGCTCCCATGAGCCACCACCCACCCTGCCAGTCCCCACTGGCTCTCACAGACCTGAGGGGTATTGGCCCACCCTGACTCAGGTCCTATCAGGAGCATCCAACCCAGAGGTGTCTGTCTACGTGTGGAAGCTTCCCACCTGCCACTGTCTCTGTGCTCAAAGGTGCCCGGGCCTTTTAAGTCCATACTTAGCTGGGGCCCTGATAAAACAAATAAGAATCTTCTCTTTTTTCAAGGGCTAGTCCTGGCCACTCCCCTGGTTTATCTCTTACCACTCTCCGTTCCATTGCTCTTCGTGTCCCAGCCAGGCTCAACATCTCTCACTTATAAATGCAATGCTTGATCTTCCTCCGAGACTGCCAACATGCTCTGGTCTCTTCCTGGCCTCTCTCCCTACCTCCATTCCTGCCTGGCCAAGTTCCTATTCTCTCTTCAGGTCTCGGCTCCAACATCACCTACCCCAGGAAACCTTCCCACGACCTGGACCAAATTTGGCTCTGCTGCTATGTGCCCCTTAGTCTATACTTGTCCCACAGATTGCTCACTGCACTTTTCATTATAATGCCTTCCTTCCTTACCTATCTGCCTTCCTAGACTGTAAACGCCAAAAGGCAGGGAACTTAGCTATCTTGTCTACCCCTCACGGTACCCCCAGGACCTAGCACCACACCCGACTCATAGCAAGTGCCCAGTAAATACCAATTAAATGAATGAATGAAGTATGAGTTGAGCAAAGGGAGTTTCTGGCATCGTCGCTGAGGTTCTGAGGTCTGTATTAACCCAGGGTTCATTCGGTTGATCAGCTGAGAAAACTATCTTTATGGAGAGAAACTTCAGAAGCATCTTCTGTCAAGCATCAGCTGCACTTCCCAGCATGACACCATGGTCGTAGAGTCAGGGAGTCCTTATTTCTCTGGCTACCATGTCTCCTCAAGTAGAGGTGAACAATACTCCCTCTACCCACTGGGGATCCAGGGACAACCATGCCCAAGATGTCCCTCCCTAGTTAAGCTGGAGGCAGCTGTGTGTGTGCATGTGTGCACGTGTAGAGAGGGGGGTAGTGTGCTGAAAGCCTAGGGCCTTGAGAGAAAGCCATCCTCCTTACCAGCTCTCATCGGTAAACACTGAAGTGACCTAAGGCTAAGAAGCACGTCCAGCATTTTCACATCACAGTGCACACAGGAAATGGTAGTGCTCAGCAGGGTCCTGTGAGTCCAGGGCCAAGCTTGCAGGTGGCCCATGCTAGATCTCTGCAGTTAGTCCCTCCAGATTCTTCCCTCCGCCCTCCCCGACCCTGCCCTCTGCCCTGGAAGGCTGGCCGTCTGGGCTGCATCCGTGCACTGTGGACAGACTGCCCCATCCTGCAGCATCCTCTGGGGCTGGCTGTCCTCGGTCCTGTTGCCCGCCTGCCCTCTGCTAGATTGCGGTGGCAGCAAGCAGAGAAGACTCAGACACTCCAGGCTGCACACCCTGTACATGGCCCATTGCTTCAAACAGTTCTGTCCTTGGGAATTATTTTTTAAAAGTTTGTTAAGGATTAACAAACGTCTAATGAATTCAAGGCTGTGACATAATAGAGCTGGGTAAACATATTTTAAGTAATCAGCATGGAAGATTACGGACAGAGAAGTGACTATTGAATCGTAATTAAAATCGTATTCTGAGAACTGCCACTTAATATATTACTCTCACAGCCAAACAAAAAGCAGCCTAAACCCTGGGTTGGGAGGGAGGCGATGGGGAGCATGTGGGTGTGCGTAATTAGTGCACGCCCAGACTGGGGGCTCCCTCTCCTGAGCAGAGATCTGGGCTGGAAGGAGCAACAAGGTCCCTCTAAACATGTCCGAATGGGAGAGGTGGCAGAGGGGAGCAAGGAGAGCTGGAGATTAGGAGTAGGGGTCTGGTCTCAGGAAAAAAGGAGCAGATGAAAGCTGGTGGGAGGGGCTCCGGGATTATTTGTGAGCAAAGCTGAGAGAGGTGCACGGGGGATCAGAAGCGAGGCTGTGAAATGGATGCTGATATCAAATGTCAGCATCAGCCTTCATGCAAAGGAATCCATCTGCAGAGGACAAGAGTTCGTCTGCTCGGAATGTCTATGAGCCTGGGCTAAGGGAGCGGAGGGGAGGGGGCTGCCTGGGGAGGCAGACAGAGGACCCCGGAGAGGAGGAGAAACACTCTTCCCTGGATCTGCTGTGCTCACAAGAATCCACGCGTCTCTGGGTGGGAACAGTGTCTCTTCCCTCCCTGGGT